GTGTGAATTTTTTCCTCTTCCCCAAGCTCAAGGCGGTCATCAAGGGGACCCGTTTTGAAGACGTGGACGACATCAAGATGGCTGTGACGACGGAGCTGCAGAGGATCCCAGAAGAATCCTTCCAGGAGTGCATGGCGACGTGGCAGAGAAGGCTGGGGAAGTGTGTTAGACTCCAGGGGGATTACTTTGAATGGGGAAACTTGTAGTTTGGATTTAAAATATATCTTTTGTAACACCAGTCCTTGAATTTTTCTGACACACCTCGTATATACATATTTACATGGAGCTAGTTAGAGCCAAGGTAAAAGAAAAAACTAGCTTGTCACACGTGTGATGTAAAGACATTAGTGGGACTACTTCAGCAACACACTGATCAATCCAACATGGATTACAGGTCAAACTAAAGTGACGGATTTGGGACATCACAGCATAATTTGCTTCAGTTACTTGGAAAAACCAACATGTTTTTATGTGATTTTTTTTCCCCCAAGTATTTCGATTTTGTAGTTTATGTGGGTACATTATGAGAAAACAAGATAATCCAGATTAAAACTGGCAAAATGTTTTTGTTGTGTTTAGTCCTTAGATTGTTCCTGGATGACGGGAACCACAGACAGAGCTGAGTGGTCATTCCCTCTGAGACACAACTTTCAAAAACAAGTGACATTTATTATATTATTTTACATTATCCATTATCTATACACCGCTTAATCCTCATTAGGGTCGCGGGGGTGCTGGAGCCTAACCCAGCCGACTCAGGGTGAAGGCAGGGGACATCCTGGACAGGTCACCAGTCTATCACAGGGCCACACTTAGAGACAGNAAAAAAAAAAAAAACTTCTCTCTTGTTCTGTGTCACAGTGTGTGAGCCCTCCACCTAAAGAGACAGAAGGGAAGCTAAAATGGCTGGCTCCACAAAAGAGACGCCACTTTAGGAGATGAGGGAAGGAAAGTGACTTGAATCGAATCTAACTGTGTACAAATATGATGTCGGTGTCTCGAAAGGAAAATACAAAAGGTAATAAAAGCTGGATTTATTACTCGCATTCGGCAATTCATGGGAGAACTATTATCACTCACCAATAACACCCGGACTGGAACACGGAATCTCGTGCTCTCGCTTCCCTTTGGCTTGTGTTTTTATGAAATCACCTTTTTGCAAATAGGATGTCTCCTGTCAGAGCACACCAGTGTCTGTGTCTATCGTGAAAATGGCACATTTCTCATTTTTGGCATATGTTGTCAGTGTTGTACCCCTCCAATTTGTGTTCAGAGCCCCCTCCTTCTCCTGGTTTGACTAAAATCCAATTTACTGGCTGTCAGCTCAACTCTATAATCCTATCCACTGCTGTAGTGGAGAGGTAGCTCTTTGAATTTACCATTTACTGTATTCGCTGGTTATAGCTATATATACCATCTCTCCCCACGTCTGTATTCTATACTGTGCCACCTCCTCTTCTCTTGGCCAGTGTATATGGAGAGTAGGCGAACATGTAGTGTGTCTTTAGAGATAAAGTCCTTTTTCTGTCACTGCAGGTTTTTGCGTCTTGGGGGAATATGTGTAGTTTATCTTGCAGCAAAGAAACATTCATCGTATCACTTCAGCACATTCCTGGTGGCTACGGAGGGGAATCAAGGCTGCACAGCATGTGTACGTGGCGAGCACCGGCGCCTAATGTAATCATAACCGCTGCACAAGCTGGACACCCACACTAGAGATAACTAATATTCCGCATTATTATAAGACCAAAAACCAGCATTTAGATTCATTAAATAAGTCTTAAGCGAGATATGAAGACAAGAGCCTGGCCGATAATCCACCGCTGCCTCTTGCGCGCTCATTACTTTATCAAAAGTTGGGCCGAGTTTATCTCCAAGGTTGCCTCGCCTGGAAGTTTCTCCACCGACTTTCTTTATTTTTTTTTTTTGGTGAATTCATTATATGCAGGTGCATGGCATCCACAGTCTCTGTGATTCATAATACTAATACAAGGAGAATTTCACCTTCACTAACATCATTCATGCTGTATAATCTTTGTGTCGAGAAACCACATACGTGCAATTTCTCCTTTAGATTTAATGGTAATTGATTCTCTCTAATGCTGAAGTATCCCCCGTGCCCTTGTTACTTTCACTCGGAACTCAATTTCCTAGCATCATCCTGCTCTTTGTCATATTATATGTGTGTATGAGCGGGAGAGGGGGGGAGGGGGAGGGAGGGAGGAGAGAGGGAGAGAAAGAGCATTTGCTGTGCAGTGTGCGTGAGCGTGTACACTCTTGTGTGCGTCTGTATGAGCCGACACGGGTCTCTGCCACAGTAAATAAGAGTCAGGGCCAACCTGAGCGGGGCACAATGGTCTCCCCGCAGACCGTCACTGCCTCCACCACCCCTTAAACATTTGCATTTCTCCACATTTCCTGGGAAAGGGCTGCATTTCATGAATGGTAATGAAGGTGGGAGTTTTACTGGAGAGAGCACAAGAGATGGCCTCACAATTACTCTGAGATGGTCAATTTGCACATTTCACAGTGGGTCCCATGGCTGTGATATGAAAATGAGGGAAATGGATAAGCCCCCAAGACCTGGCTAACATCAACAATTAATCCTGGCATTTAGAGACGGCGGTGGAAAAAAAAAAAAAAAA